TTTACAACTAAGTGGTATTGCGTCGTGAATTTAGGATTTGATCCTTCTTGCGTCTTCTTTTCATGTTATCAGTTCGACCGAGGTATTTTAATTATGCTAAACTCACTAAACGAAAGGAATTGAATTTCGAGTGAAATTTTAAGAGACCCCTCGTACTAACTGTTCAACGTTTTGTTAAAATTGCATTATAAAAGTGCAAAACGTTTGGTAATGGGAGGCAATAACGCAGGACTTTGAGAAATTGTAACCATTTAAATTGGTCGTGCAAGGTCTTCCTTCGTAATTACTCAATCGCTTGGTTTAATAACTGCAGCGTTGTTGTTCTTTCTTCGCGGCCGTACGCCGCTGCAACAACCTCGCGAAGAACAAGCCAGCAGTTTTTTTTTCACGATCATCGCGCGCCATCGAACGCCCGCAAATTAACGCTATACATACGCGCATCGAACCGCGACGCGGCTCAGCGAGCCTGCTCTCCACGTACAGTTTCACGACATACGTCCACTGCGATTTGTTGGAATATAGATCAAAAGCGCGCCTCGCAATGGCAGCTCTATGAATAGCCTTGCGCGCGCGCGTCAACGACGTACTAACATGGCTTTCCAAAGCGACGGCACCCAAGTTCAGCGCGGGCGTCTGTGTGTGCGTGCGCGCATTGCGGCATAGATTTAACGTCGCGCAGCGCGGGAAACGGCAGCAGGCTAACGACTGCACGCCGCGTCGCTCCAAGGCGCCAAGCTTGTCCTTGCCCCACACTGCACAGCCGCTAGTTTCGCTTCTCTCTGTAAAAGGTGCATGCTTTATCAATGGCTGCGCGAAGCTGCCGCCGCCGCCGCCGCCGCTGCTGCTGCTCCATTAGGTCACTTTATTTTCAGCTCGCTCTTATTTTCATTTAAAAGTGGATAAACGAGCCGCTCGTATAATTGCGAATGCGCGCGCGGGTTTGTTCGTTTGCGAGAGAGTGAATGAGCTAGTGGAGGGAATAAAAGCTGCGATCGCGCTATAGAGCATTTCAAAAAGGACGTGACGTTTCTTTTGAAAGCGATTTTTATGAAATTCCTTCGCAAATGTTCAGGTTACCGTCAGAAACATGGTATGCTTGGTTTTTAAGGAAGGCTGTCTGTTTTTTTTTATATTTTCGTTGTTTCCAATGTTTTTTTCAAGGAATAAAAATAAAAAAAACATAACGTACAAATTTTGTTAGGGTCACAGTCGAATGAAAAAGTAAACATGCTGCAGAGAGTCGTAGGTTGGCCAACATAATCCCCATGGTAAATCATAATCAGCCAAAGTCACAGGTAAACGGGGCGAAGCCGCGCTCATATACAAAACAATCAGGACAATCCGCAGGGGAGCTACGGCGTGAAAATCCACTCAGTCGTAATGAGGCGCGCAACGTCTGGTAGTCAACGCGGGATTAAGTCAGACGACGACGCGTGCGTGGCAGGCCGCGCGGTAAAACGAAAAACATCGTAACGCCACGCGGTAACCGCGGGGCGCGAGCGCGATATATACGCTTCGCGCCGCCGCACCGACTTTTCATCGGCGCGCATTCCCTCGACTTCTTTACTCTATAGCAGATGAAAATTTATGCGTGTATCGTGTCTTGTTACATTTGGACATTTTGATTCTCCCACGGCCCTTCTTATTTTATTTTCGGCCGCGGTACGCAGAGAATTCGCTCTGCAATACTCCCTGACCTTCCTGGTCTTTAGATCGATTCTATTTTCTTTCGGTCGCGTGCGCGTTAATTTGACGGATGGCACTTTCATGACTTTTTCTCGAAAATAATGCTTCTTCTGTGAATGCCATTCTGGTGAGATTCATTGTTGATCAAAATGCGAAACTTTTTGACGCGCGATGTGACTTCGTTGGCAAAAAAAAAAGAGGGCAGATTGAAGAGGGTGTTCAAAAAACTTGTTCCACCGACACCGCAATGCGTTTTCTCTTGTGTTAAACGCTGAAAAACTTTGGAATCATCATCGTGAATTTCTAGCGAAACGATAAATAAGAAGAGCAGGAGGATTCCTGTTGAATGCACTATGCAGCTATCAAGTTTGCTGTCCAAGTTATACACAGTGGTCGTCGGCCAATTGCAGGATACATGCTTAAAATTAGTTACCGTTACGCCCGACGAAGACGCCGACACATCCGTCTCGGACGAGGCGGAAGTTTTGTTCGACGAGCGAACGTCCGCGCATGTGGAACGAGAGAGAGAGAGAGAGAGAGAGAGAGAGAGAGAGAGAGAGAGAAGAATGCCGCCTCGATCTATCGTCGCCGTATACGCGATCCCGCGCGAGCTCTCGAAATTATTCACGCGCGGTGCACGAGCGCAGGCCCGAAATAAACGCGCGCCCATTCGTATTCAAATGCCGACTACGCTCATTTTAAAATATAATCCTGCGCGCGGAGTTGCGCTTTTTATATACGCAGGACTCATTAAAACCGCTTTAAAGGCCTCGCTGACCTTTTTTTTTTCGTGCAACTTTATGCGCTTTTACTTTTACCTTTTCGAATACTTCGAGTTTCCGAAGTATCTTAATTACGAGCGATATTCCTTGAATTCAAAAGAAACGCTAAAAGACTTGACACTTGTAGCGCAATTTTTTTATTTGCCGGGTCATAGGGCTTGATTTTAAACTCCGTATCATATCGTGTAGATGTCAATCCGAGGACAGAACTTGGCGTACTTCACGACGCGCAATCTGATATGTAGTAGGTCAGAAGAGCACCTCGGTACATATAAATGATTGAAGCTTAGCGCAACTATCAGAAATAATTCATTCGAGTCTCTTCCGTGCGTAATATATTATAATATGCAAATGTGACGTGATTTGATTTTTAAAACATTTCTTCGCTTTCGGGAATATGTTCATTTTTACCGAGCTGTCGAAAAACGACTACACAAACGGGCAAATTCTCGAAAGTAGGACGAGGATGGAAAAAAAAGAAATGAAGATCAGGACTGAAAGATAACCGAATATTTGTGTGAAAATGAGGATTAGAGAGTGATGCAAAGCGCGTACTTAGTCTAGTAATAGTGTGTGTGCGTGAGAGAGAGAGAGAGAGAGAGAGAAGCGCGATCATTTTCTAGGCTAGCTCATAAATCATACTTAAACTACCCTCCGGCAAATGAATCCGCAAGCCTGAGAATCCCTATATATGCGTACTTAGATTCCACGTTCTTCGAATCTCAGCAAGAACTTAGAAAGAAATATATCGCATTCCTCATTGCCGATTGAAGCAAGAACAGCCAGTTGTACTTAACAGTGAAAGAAAAATCTCGTGGCCAAGGCAGTGACGGTCACTTGAAAAACTATCTTTTATACGCGAGAAGCTCTCGAAAGGACAACTGTTGGGAGTTGCCTTATCAAATTTTCTGCTACGCCATACGGACTACGCGTACACACGTAGACAGGGCGCATCGATGCCAGTCTCCTCCCCCCGACAGCGTGCGTGCGTCGATCGTATATTGATTATTATACGCGCCCTTTTTCGATGATTGCGACGATAACAATTTCGGGCAGTGAACTTCGTTGTTACCGGTGGAGGGCTAACTATCCGCACGACCGATTATCATATTAAGATCCCCATCGCCAGCCTGTGTTCAAAATCACTGCGACGCGTAATCCAAAAATTACGTGTCTGCGCGCACTACATATCAAATCAATTTCTAGGGGCGCGCGACAAAAGTAAATCAGCGCCTTATTCGCAATGACAACGGTGGTTCTTCTCAATGAGTGATTGCTTGAGCGTAATTGATATTCACAGTGCGTGTAGGGCGTGCATGCGTATGAATGGAAGAGCTCGAGCGTGCTGGAAGCGAAAAATCCAGCCGAGATCCGTGTATGCTACGTTCGCGTGGAAAACAAAACAAGTCGAAGAACGAAAAAGAGTCTAATGAAATACATCTCTTTGTGAAACATGGGTTACATCCTCTCCCGCGTTCGTTAAACCTCCCTAGTCTTGCGGAGTTGGATCTCTCTCTCTCTCTCTCTCTCGACCCGGAAAGCTATCTAGCCGCCCGGATTTCACGGAACGCGTTAAGCCGCCGTGCGCACCAAAACAAGTAATCGATCCATAGAGCCAGCCCCCCCCCCCCTCCTCCGCCTTTCTGCCCTTCTATTTTAGCTGAAGCTCGCCAAGTAAAATAAAAGTTGAGAGACTTAACAACAGAAAAAAAGAAGAATCTCTTTCTTCCTCTCCCTCTCTCTTTCTAAGCTGTTGAACCTAAAAAATCCCGGAGCAAGCTGCATGCAAATGAGCGGGAGAAAATGGGATCGAGAGAAAGAAAGAGAGAGAGAGAGACAGACAGACAGACAGACCGACCGACCGAGGAGCGAGAGAGAGAGACGGCGCTGTGTGTAGATGTGTGGGTGGTCTCCTCCTCTTCGACACTGCTGCTGACCCTATTTTCCCGAGCCAACGTATAGTCAGCCTGACCCCATTCGATGCGCCGCTGGCCGTCGCGCAGACGACGTTTTCGACGTCGACGCGTCGAGTCGTCTCTAGGCTGCTGCCAACAGGTGACTGCGTCATCACTGCTGCTGTCAAATCAGATTGTCCGCCGGTCGTTACTTCAGCTTTCAAGGCGCTGCTAATCACAGTGTTAACCTATCTCGTGCAGATTAATGGACGACAGACGGGTTTGCTGCAGACATTGGCGATGAAATCGCGGCGAGACACATTTTACGTTTATCGTCGTCATTTACGTTGCTGGCAATGACTTATTGTGCTTATGCATTTGCTTGTATTCATTTCTTCGCCCTTTCGATTTCAAACTCGCGCGCATGTATCAACTGAGTGAGTCAAGCTCGAGCTGCGCGTAGCGGTGTGAATTGCTGCGCGATATTTATCGAACTTACGTCTCGATTACAGAGAAGAAATGACTTTCGACATTACAAAAAAATTTATTGTGCAATATGTTAATCTATTTGCGGTTATATTATGTTCTAAAATATAATTGATTAATGATTATTATGATAAATCCGACTCCGTTTTTTTTACATTATTACAATTTGTGTTGAGTGGATTAGTTTTGTTAAACATCGATTAATTGTAATTTTTATTTAAAAACATCATTCTTCTTCGCATTATAAAAATAAATCAATAATTAATATATCAACGGGATCATATAACCACAATGTGGTGGCTTATTTAACAATAATTTCATCAACTAGACAGAAACATTTAAAACCTCATAATTCTCAAAAGACTCGTTAGAACAAAAAAGACATGCAATTTTTCGGCAATTACCTAGAAGACAGTGGATAGGTCACCTTATCTTGTATGCCAGACAGTAATATAGTAATAGATTATATATAAAAGTATAACGAGGATCGCCAAAAGTATGTAGTGGTGAAGATAAGCGATGTAGCAGTTCGATTGCAGGGCGCCGCAATGGTCGCAATATAAGTGCACATAGCCACAAAAATCATTATAATCCGGCGGGCAGACAACTTAACAGACACGGTACCGTCCGTAGACAGATATTAAAAAACACCTAGCCGACCGTAGACGACGTGGCTGACCATCCCCTCCAACTACTTGCGACGTACCGCATTGTCTATTCCTTTTGTCTCTCTTCTCTCTTACTCTCTCTCTCTCTCTCTCTCTCTCTCTCTCTTTCCTTATATAATATGGCATCTTCAATATGCTTAGCTATTCTCATTTCCCACCAAGATAATAACTTCAATTATCTTGAGCTGTAAATTAATTTTCCACTGTGAACCTCATTTCAATATTATTTACAAATTTATAGTGAATGCACAATTATTTATAGTGAATTCAATCAATTCACGAATGACATTTTTAAAATAAAAAATTTTTTTTTATATAGAATCAATAGAGGATGATAAGAGTGCTTTTTCAAATCAAGAGGATACTCAAACATAACATTAGACGATAGTTTAAGAAAATACAGAACCATTGACTGATCTGACATGATATAATCATATGGTAAACGCCATTAAAGAATGTTAGCTGAGTGGATTTTTATCTAGAACACGCACGGCTGAAAAATTCACTCAAAGCCTCGGAACATTTGTTATGCTACGCACTAATGACGAACTTTTCCGGTTCCCAAAAATCCGTAAGGCCGGGTGATAAGGCAAAGCAGCGATTTTCTAAAACTCAGACGTATATGTGGAGACGAAAAACAGGGCAAACACAAGATTAGATTTGATTCTTGAGCAGCGTTCACGAGTGAGCTGGCAAAACAACAGCGACCTTTCGTTGCAGCGTAGAAAAACGTTTTCCAATTGTTCATCAATCGTGAAACTTGGCGAAATGTAACTTGGTTGAAAACAGGAGTACTCAATAGCGCTAAAAATAATTGCGCAAAAAGTAATCCATAAGCGCTAGCGCGATATGGGCGCAGCTTTCGCGCAAGTGTTCTCGTTTGGATAACATTATTGTTGAAACAGTCTCAAATCAAATCCGCGCGTACACTCATAGGTTTGTTATGCAACTTGTAAGTCTTTCAAGACGCGCGCGCGAGCGAACTGGCGGCAAACGACAGTATAACCATTGCCGTAAGAAGAAAAAAAAAAGGCAGAATAAATTTGGAAGAAAAAGTTGGGTATTGTCGAGAAGGTAAAGCGAATTCGAGGCAGCGCCACGCCGATTGACAAGGACGACAATGGGTCTGCGGTGAGCAATTAGGTAACAGTAATCGAGAGACTCGTTTGTAAGTTGTACACGTGTATCCCCTCCCCTTTCTCTCGTTAAAGTTCCAGTCCAGCACACCTGAGTGAGAGAGAGAGAGAGAGAGAGAGAGAGAGAGAAAGAGAAAGCCTACTTACCCCTACTGCTTCTTAAGCGACTGTCTGGTACTATTGCCTCGGGAAAGAATGAGTGGAGGGTAGCTGGCGCGACTGGCTCGCCAAGGCTATATAAGTTGTACCATGTGACGGCACTGCTCCATATCACCCCCGCGCGCCAGAGCGAGCGGTCATGAAAGTTGTACGCTCGTGTTGTCACTGCCGTCTGCTCGCTCACTTGCCGCTGCTGCTCCGCACTTGTTAATGTAATCGGTGCGACGTTGCTTGGCTGGTAAGTGACGATTTTTCCGAGTGATTGTCAATGCTACCTCTTTTGTGAGTCGACTTTTTTTTCGTACCTGAATCCTCGGGGTAATCGGCGTTGAACCGCTGAGCTTTTGCGCCAACGTGTGTTCCTTTTCTTTTGCCACGGTTGTTTTGAAATTATCACAGTGCATCGTTATCTCGAGTTGTGGTTGGTGATAAAGTGAGCGAAGCAAATGTGTGTAAAATGTAAACATTGGCCGCAGCTCGGTGAATCAAGGTCGTGGTCGTTGTCGCCAAGCGTCGATAAGCTGTCGAAGATGGTGAACTTAGTGTCGAGCGAGAAGACAGCAATGGAGATATGCACGTCTAGGCCCACTGCCAAGGTTGCCATTGGCAATGCAGCCGTGTTCCCGCGCAATTTCGCCACCACGGCGCGCTGTGCGCACCGGCTTTGCGGACCGGCACGACGATCGTTTGTCTTTTATACGACGACCACAACGATTAACTCTGATCAGAGGCACAATTTTACACGTTGCAGCATCATGACACTTGGTATGTTTGATTCAGTTTTCATTTCTTGTTTTTTTTTTCCGCCAGTAACTCGATTGCGTTCGTTCGACTTTTCAACGGCATTTCTTCGATTCAATTGCTATAACAACAGTTGAAGTATCGTCGGTTCGCCGAGCGCAAGAAAAATCATAGCGCGATGACCGGCGCGTTACACGTAGTCGATGTCGTTTGAAAAGTGGAGGCGAGCGATTGATTCAAAACATTAACCGTCACTTAAACGACTGGGCAGAAATTAACGTTCGAAGTGCTTGTTGGCAGTCGATAGCGAAGGACAACAGCAAGAGGCCACATGGTACAAGGAGTTGATGCGAACGGTCACCCGGGTGAACATTGCGATAAACGATGGTATAGACTCAATCAGGCAGACGCCGCTCCAGCTGACGATCCGTCGTGGTGACTACGAGATGATGGAGCGTCTACTGCTCGCCGGCGCCGACATCGACGCCCGCGACGTGGACGGCAACACAGCCTTACATTTCGCGGCACAACTCGCGCGCTACGACGCCGCCCAAATACTTCTGCGTCACGGCGCCTCGCTGGCCGCCCAAACACCACGTGGCTTCAGTCCCGTGACGCTCGCCGTGCAATCCGGCTGCATACCGCTCGTCCAGCTGCTCCTCGATCACGGCGGCGACGTCAATCAGCCCGTCCACGATTACGACTTGAAGAGGCAGTCAACTTTGCTTCATTGGGCTATCGAGTGCAATAACATCCGGGTTAGCTGCTTTTTTCACTTTGTCAAAATTGAGTTCACTCAACGATTTGTTGACCCATTCAATTTGCCGCTCCAGATGGTCGACTTCCTGCTGCGAACGAACGCCGACGCAAATCTGCGCGACTCGTACGGCGAGACCTGCCTGCACTACGCCGCGCGCTTGGGCCACCTCGACAGCGCCGAGCTGCTGCTGCGCCACGGCGCTCGGGTGCGCGACAAGAGCCTCAACGAGCTGACCGCCCTGTGCTACGCCGTCAAGTTCGGCCACAAGCACATGCTCGAGCCGCTGCTCCAGCACGGGGCGACTCTGACCGAGCGGGGCCTGGGCGGCGCCACGCTGCTGCACTACGCGGTGAAGAACGACGACGCCGAGTTCGCGGACATGCTCGTGCGCCGCGGCGCGCGCGTCGACGCGGCCAACAGGTTCGGCGCGACTGCCCTGCACTGCGCCATCTCCGGGAGGAAGCTGCGCGCGCTGGAGATGCTGTTCGAGCACGGCGCCGACGTGAACAGCCAGGACGCGTTCGGCAAGACCTCGCTGCACATGGCCATCGAATGCCGCCGCAAGGAGCTGTACGAGCCGCTGCTCCAGCGCGGCGCCGCCGTCGACGCGAGGGACGCGACGCTGCAGACGCCCCTGCACTTCGCCGTGAAGCAGGGCTCCTACACCGCCGTGGAGCTGCTGCTACGCCACGGGGCCGACGCGAACGCGCGCGACTGCGTCGAGCAGACGCCGCTGCACGTGGCCGTGCGCCGCGGCCACGCCAGGCTGCTCGGGCCCCTGCTCCGGCACTCGGTCAACGTCGACGCCCTCGACGCGCGCGGCCGCAGCCCGCTGCACTTGGCCGTCGACAGCGAGCACTCGCGGCTCGTCTACTGCGGCTACCCGTACACCATCTTCGCCCGGCTGCTGGACGGCGGCGCTCGGGTGTGCACCAGCGACTCGGAAACCGGCGAGACGCCGCTGCACGTGGCCGTCAAGAGGGGCTGCGCCGTCTTCGTCAAGCACTTGCTCGCCGCCGGGGCCGACGTCCACGCAGCCGCGGGCCCCGCGCGCAAGACGCCGCTGCGCCTGGCCGCCGACGGGGGCTTCGCCGACTGCGTCGACCAACTGCTCGTTTACGGCGCCAACACCGCCGACGTCCACCTCCACGAGGTCGACCGGGCGGTCGCGCAGAGCTTTGCCAGGCACTTCGCGCGTAGGCGCGCCGCCGCTATGCCCCTCGATCGCCGGTACTGCAAGATGCTCGTCGCGGACGACGATGAGTTTGCGGAACGCTGCCAGGCCGAGGTGCGGAGGATGAGGCTGACGAGGCTGAGCGACGAGCACACGTTTTACGAATTCCTCCGTGGCAATCGGCGCTGGCTCGCCAACTTCGTGTCCAACGGCGCGCCCTGCGTCATTTTCGCGGATCACGCGCGAGTCGAGGTTCCCGCGGAAGAGAGCCCGCTGAGGAAGATTTTTCCTCTGTACGCGGACATGCTAGACAAGAATTATCGCGTCGCCGTGCGATACGCGCCGCTGCTCGATGCCGCCTTCGAGAGGCTCGTCGACCTCTTGAAGTTGCCGGCCGTGCCTGCCGACAGAGTTCTTGATTTTCTCACCGTCGTCGATATGGAGAACGTCATTGAAGCGATGTCTAGTCCAAAGAATCCTTGTTAATAAGCGTATAATGGCTTTTTAAATAGAATGTTTATGTTTTCTTTCTTTTTCTGAGCACGTTAATATCGATTTTAGATTAATCGAGAACCTTTTTGTATGACCAGATATTTATTGTTGTAAATGGAAACGTTTCAACTTTGAATAGTAGATATTTATATTTTTCTATTTTGAATAACAAGCTATGACAGATTATATATATATAATGCGTTAATGTTTATGCGATAATTTTAATGAAACTGTGATAATTTTAATTTCACACTGTACTATTTCATTAATACCTTTCCAAAAATTCAATTGATATCTGAAAACAATATTTTCAAATATCTCTAACTTTCACAAATTTTTATATATATTTTTTATATATTTTTATATTTACAATTGGAATGTGTATAAACAACAAAATGTTTTCTCTTTACAGAATTAAATTATTATAAGCATGCTTTCAAAAATAACTGATATGTTATATGTTTGTAATACCATCATATGACTTATTATTCCCTCATACGGCTACCTTCATCGTTATTTTACAAATGCCATTTACGAAAGCAGTTGATTTCCATAACAGTTCCATTATATTTCACATACCTTTACAGAACATAGAGCAGCGAGAAGGGAAGTGTACAGAAACAGATGCTGCAAATGTTCACTCTGGTGAAAACACCGCACGTGGTCTGGCGCATTAGAGAGACAAAAACCGAACTAACACCAAGATACTAACATTCGTAGCGACTGACGGTCACCACACTGCACGTAGAATGTGTATGTATCTTAGTGACCTATATAGCTTTGTGGCCTTCATATCGAGAATGAAGGGATCATTCGACATCTAATAGAACAAGAAGCTAATATTAATATTAGAGTAATCGGTAAAACTCATCTGATGATGGCAACTGAAAAGAAAAATACAGTCAACACCATATTGGAGGCTCATATGATATACCGTGTGGGGTATTTCTTTTGAAGATACCATTTGATCTAGCACTAAATGATAATACGATCCAAATAATTTTTCGTAAAATAAAATGCATAACATCCGCGCTCGAGAGGTTTATTCATCTTAGACACTTTCTATTCCAGATTACTTTTCTGAGAGAGCTCGAAATGATAAAATTTACGCTCGGACACAATGGGTCTTACCAGTTCTAAATCTCATAATTCAACGACAGTATTATATTAGATGCTGCTGTTTGTCTTGGCCTGAAGGTCGTGGTGTAATTTCTATTCAAAAACAGTAAGTTCACGCAATGTGCTATACTGTTGTCGAAGGCAAATCATTTACCCGTATTACTTCAGTACTATTAAAAACGCATTTCAATGATTACAAAGAAATGAGACGAAAGTGAAATTTCTAATTGCTGTTGCATTACCCCATAATACTGAAGAAATATTTAGCTACGTCGATTATCGATTCTTAAAAAAATTAATTACACGTACTGAAATAAAGATTAGAAGAGAATCGTAATATCTCACTGAAGTAGAATTATCGGTAAATTGCAGTACTTTAATTTCAAAACTGTAAGCTTGTAATATACGTTATTCGATTGAAAAATTATAGCGAATGTTGCACAGTCCGTAAATGTTATAATTCATTTTGTCATATTAGCTCGCTATGGTTTTGTTTCGTGTCTCAAAATAAAATTATGTGTGAAAACTGAAATCTTATATTTTAAATATTCCGCGTAGTCAAACGTGAAGTATAATAAATACTTGTGTGATGAGCGACTGAATTAATCATTTTACCAAAATACAAAAGTGACTCACTCTTGAAATATGAAAGGAACTGAACAAGTATTGAACAATGGAAAGCTATATTTTTCTATCTAAATATATACTGAAATGGTAAGTTTGAACTGATCCCAAAGATAATTAATCGTTCAAAAGTAATAATCAGTTTATCTCAAATGTATACAGTTATGATCAGTTAAGTCGATTTATTTATAGACATCTGCATTTAGAAATCAATTACGTGCACGTAATGATATTTAATTTATCAAATGTTTGTCCTTCAATATGCCAGCATCGTTCAAAATTAAAAGGATTTATCGCTGTAAATATTGTAACGTCAAGTTACCATCAACCAGTAACATAAATCTCACGGTATAGCGACGGCAGCACAGGTCGGTGCGTTGATATTAATATCACCACTACGTATTACTTAGTGCATAATGTACATATACAGGATGCAGTCATTGTGGATCGCGCCTTGTGATCAAAATGCATTATATAACGCCGGCATATAATAAACGTTCGGGAGCTCTCTCTCTCTACTTAAATATTGACCAAGAGGAAAGAGAAAGATAACGATGCTGACTGACGGCTTCTTCGAGCTGCAGCTATCAAAGGTAGAGCAAGCATCACAAGTGATCAGTTGCAATGAGCAGCGAATGCATTGCTCGCGTGAAAGTTTTGTTCTTCGCCAAAGCACGTGAATTGGCTGGACTGAAGGAATCTCAGCTTGAAATCTCAGCCTCTGTGTCATCCACCGAACTCAAGGCACGCGTTATCAAAGATTTTCATTTGGAAAGCATCCAGGATATCATCATATTGGCCCTAAACGAGCAATTCCTTGAGCCCGACGTTGTACTTAACCTCTGCGAGACTGATCAAATTGCTGTTATTCCACCACTTAGTGGAGGTACTTATTCGCTAATTATATGCATTTACGCGATTTTTTTTGTTGAAAATATCCTGTTTTATGATACTGAAGTGATATTTTATTAAACGACAAATTGTATATATCTATGTGTAGGTCGTTTAGCTTATCTAACTGCTTCTTAAGAAGTAACAATATACACTTAAATTATACGCTTGAAGTTGTTGGACAGTAATTTCCACTGTTTTAAAATATGTAATTTTATTTTTGCAGGATAAAATGGCTAACAATAGAGACATTGTTCATCTGCAGTTTTGTAAACTGGATATCAATAATATAATTGAATCTGTTGTTTCTCCAAATTGTGGAGCTATATCAAGTTTTATAGGAACTACAAGAGATAATTTCGAACAAAAAAAGGTATGCAACATTATGTAATTTCAATCATCTGTTAAATCCCTAAAATATCTGGTATATCATGTGTAAATGGTTTCACTGCAATCTTTTCTAAATATCTATTATATGATTATCGATATATAATTTCCATACATACATTAGTAAAGATGTAAAAGGTAGATAATACAATTAAAGAACTTCTTGTTTATGTTTTGTAATTTTTTTGTAAACGTCTTAATTTTGTATTTTATTGCACAAATCAAGTAATAATATTTTTAAAACTCAGGTTGTGAAATTGGAGTATGAAGCTTACGAAACTATGGCTTTAAAAGAAATGCAAACAATCTGTGATAAAATACGTTCAAAATGGAATATTGAAAAAATTGCAATATTTCATCGTTTAGGAGAAGTACCTGTTACACAAGCAAGTATCGTCATTGCTATTTCTTCACCTCATCGCCAAGAATCCTTGCTAGCTGTGCAGTTTGCTATTGACGCAGTTAAAACTTCAGTACCTATATGGAAAAAAGAAATATATGAAAATGGTGAGCCAGAGTGGAAAGAAAACAAAGAGTGTTATTGGACAAAATGTAAATGACATATTTTTGTCAATCAGCACTCATTTTTAACATAATATTTTCATAAGAATTGTTAAATTAGTTTATTGATTGCTTTCAATAGATTTTGTTTATATATTTGGAGTAATCAGAGTTATGTTATATTTTTATTTTGTGCACAATACTCTGTATATTTTTGTATAATTGTTTAAAAGAAGATTCTGTTCAAACTTGATAAACTAGAATATTATCAAAACATTATTCTGTGTTTATATTTTTTAGCTGACCCAACACAAAAATTTGAAACAACTTGTATTTCTAATGAGAAGAAAGTGTTTACTATAGTAAATAATGAATTAACAATTTTTAATGAAGAAAACGTAGATCTTGATAATATCTGTAATACAGTAGAGGTGGAAGTTCCATCAATAAATGAAAATGATGCTGCAAATAAATTTGTTATCGATCCTGAACAAGTGCAAATCAAAGCAGATGCTAAAGAATTAAATCGTAGAATAGAATCTTTTATTTCACGCAAACGAGAACAAGTAAACGCATTAAATTTGCATGAATTTTGCATCAACAGGTCAGATGTTTCTTTTGATTGTTAATGGTTCATTTAAATTCTAAATTGGGTATTGCTCATTAATATTTGCATTTGATTTAGAACCCCAATTCAAAATGAGGACGATGAAGCAACATGTGTTTGTGCTCGAGTAAATGCAGTGTTTATGAGAGGCTATGACTCTAAAAATCGTTTGAAAGGTAAAGATTTTGGCATTATTTGTAATAGCATAATCATTTATTTTAGTTGCTACTAATAATAATTTAAATTACTAATAATAATTTAGTTCACAGAGTGTACAATCAATGGTCCCATCAAAATATTAAACCTGTCATTCCAGTAAAACTTGAAAACAAATCTGGCAATTATCCATCAGCTCTGGAAGAAAGATTATCAACAACAGAAAAAATATTAGGAGTTAATAAACCAGTTCCTCGGGATATATACCAACGGATAAAAAAAATAGAAGACCGCCTTCTATTTTTAGAAGGTCTTTCTCCAGAATATCGAGATTTATGGGTATATATTTATTGAAAATTGAATCTATAAAAATAACTGAATTAAATGGTTTAATGTAAATATTTACATCTATAATATTTTTCAGTCCATCGATGATTGTGAAAGTGTCACAAGTTTTGACGGAAATTCCTCTGATAATTATGATAGAGTAGACTTTAAGCCAGCTAAGAAAAGGGTAAGTTATGTGCCAAATGGAATTTATATTACTTACAATTTTTTTCTTCGTTTTTTTTAATTCATTACAGAAGATAAACTTTTATTTTGATTTTTATCTTAATGCTGATAATATTTTGAAATTAACTTTACCACGAAAAATTATCTAGTTGCTTCTCAAAACTAATTCTTTATGCTTGTCGAAAAATTTTGATTGATTTTATATTTGCAGGCTCATTCTTCAATAAATATTGGTCCAAAAGTACATGGGCTTGAAGATAGGTATGCTACAAGAAAGTAAAAATAATGCAATGATGAAAATTTTGTTGCTCAGCGCACAGCCGATGCTTATAAACAATTAATTTCAGTTTTTTTCTATTATTAATTTTAATTTATTTGTTTCGTAGATATTGTAGATTTCATTAAATTTACTGTAGTTAATATTAAGATAATTATAGTTTTTTCGAATCATCGCTTATCATTTTATTTCTTAACTTTTTTTAGAAATACGATAGATTAACTGAAATTCTTTCAATTTTTTGGAAGATTTTTTATTTTTGATATAAAAAGATAAATTGTTATATATAGAAGTAGTAATTGAAACAAACACTTATTTTGATTGTACATTAATTTTTTTATAAAATAAATTTTTTGTAAAATATATAATAATTATGTTTAATAGAATTTTTTATGTGATAGGAAAGAAAAATCGTTTTCAATAAATATTTTTTAGTAAAAAAATATTTTTGAGTAACAAAACAATCCTTACCAATAGCCAATAGTATTTTTGCCAGCTTCAGCATTATACTTAAAGCAAAAACTCACGCTTAGTTTACAACTTAAAATCAAACAAATTTTATTAAATGATTCTTATTCGCTTGTTACAAAACAAAAAAAGTAAACATTTTGAAATTGTAACCGACGCTTGCCGACTGACAACGGAAGTGTATACCATGCGGCTTTCAATAGCAATGTATCACGTACATAGCGCATCATTTGCAGAAAGGGTCACAAGGGGGAGTTATAAATCACAGCGGGGCATGTATCTAATCACCCGTCAGTTTCAGGCACCCTCTGTATCCATGCACACAGCACACACGCAGCAAAATTTTAATCGAGATACACTCGTGGCAACTGACGTTGAATAAGTGTATTCATTTCGAAAATTTCGTCGGATTATACGACAAACTTTGCGAAGGCGTCTTAAAAGCTAATTGATATACGCCTAAGCTCTTCTCCTCCCCCTTCTCTCTCTCTCTCTCTCTCTCTCTCTTTCTTAGCGGATCGTTGCAATTGTATTGACCTAACACATTACAGGTACAGTCTCCCTTGAAACTCACTCGCTTTTGGTCTATATAACCCAAGACTCTCGTCACGGAAGTAAGCTATCCACGAAACTCTTGCAAGTTTCGCAAACTTTGTTTGATTTTTTTTCTTTCTTGATCAGATTTACCAAAATGAATTTACTTTCACGATGCGATGTCTATAAATGGATATCGTGTCATGGCTTTACAGACAGACATTGAAAGACCGATATAGAAAAATTTACCGACATAGAAGAGTCGAATTTTGCATGTATTAAATTAATGATGTAAAACGAACTAATGAAAAAAAAATGAAGTCTGTAATATTACTGTATTTCACGCTTCGAGTATTGTGAAAGTATATAGTCAACAAAATCAGCGCATTTGAAGTTTCTCTCATGTTCACTTAAAAATGTGCAATGAAAAACTTCGAATGTATATTTGCATAAATGGAAAAAGTTTGGTGTAATAGAGATTGCGATAAAGGATTTCGCCCGCAGTTACGCGTGGTACGGCAATCCGACGGATTAGGCTTAATTGCGAGCGATCGATCACTTAATGCAATAAGACTGTGTTAGATGCTTGAATTATTTTAAACATTATCATATACATAAATTGTATCGTAAGGAACGTCGATATGGATATACGGAAAAAAAATAAAAGAACTATAAGTTACCTGGATAGAAATTCAAGAAATCCACCCCTGCCAGATATATTACCACGCAAAGCAAAAGTGATTAATGGTATCGAGACATCTTAACTTTCATGAAATTGCAGAGGTATAATTAAAAAGAAAACATATCCTATCATGAAATAAAAAAAATTAATCTTCGGCTAATCGATGCTAATTACACACTAAATATCTAGGTAATAAACATGAGGCTTATTCACCCCTTGTGCGACAAGTTCGCCTCCTTTTGCGTGCTTCTGTCAATTCACCCTCTCTCGCGGCAAAAAAACTCCCTAAACTTCCTGCAAACTAGTATAAACTTTTCGAGTTTCGAATAGGATTTGATCTTTTGTTCAGATAAATCAAATTTAATAGATTAAACAACGCTTAAAGTTCTGATATGATATGATATGATATTTCTCCATTAGGTATATTATTTCTAGTGCGTGAGAAAGATGCCCATTAATTAATTTTCAAAGATTATCAGATTGGCCTCGAAACTCGGAAAGATTCAACAAAAACTTTGAGCGACGTGGATCGAGCAAGATTTGGAAATACATTCAGTTCTCGAGTGATAATAAGCGCGACTTGATTTCATAGCGTTGTTTCCCATCGACGAGCTATCAACTGTGCAAATTAATGAAGCAGAATTGTTATTAGACCCCTTTCGAAGCAGAAGCCAGTAAAAATCAGCTCGTTCGATGAACGCACCGTTCTCACCACAGTCCGCATGCACAAATGGTCATCGCCACGTGCGCTGCTCTCGAACCCCTCTACGTGCGCCTAACAAACTTTCCCATCAGTCTGTACCTCACTTATAGCAGCCGCACAAGCAGCAAGCAAGCAAGCCAAGCCGGCAACAACAACGGATAATCGTCCTTTATATAGAGAAGAGAGAGGAGAGAGGGAACGAACTAGCAGCCGACGCAGCGTTGATAGTTCGCGTTTCGGCAGACAGGCGGCAGCGTTGCTCTGGTGGTTGATACTAGTTACTGGTGGGTTCTTGCGCACAGGCGGCTGTGTGCATGGCAATATCGTGGTGAGAGACATAGCGAGTAGCGGTGCGCTGGCTGCTGCTGCTGCTGCTGTTGCTGCTGCGCGGAGCAGAGAGTAGTGTCGAAAGCATATACGAACATACGCTCGAGTGGTGGTAGTGGTCGATCTGTGCTCTCTTGCGAACGAGATGCCCTACTATAAGTGAGGATGCTGCAGCGTCCACCACCGGCGATATCACGCTTATATCCTTTTCATCCCGTGTCGTTCGTTATCTTCGTCTTCGTTGTTGCTGCTGCAGCTGTACTTTGTTTGTGTCAGTGTGGTCCTGTGTTTGCAGCTACACAAGACTTGAACTGTATCCTGCGACACGAGGTGAGTCACGCTTAGTCCTTTTAAACGGTCGTCGAGGGAAACGAGGATCAAACTCTCGGAGTAAACACGGCGAATTTTGTTTTCTTATATACGTCCCTCGGAAAGTCTATAACCTGTAAGCTTGGCGCGCGCTTTCCATTTCCTTCTGACGAGCGAATTATTGCTAGGGCGAAAGCGAGAGAGGGAGAGATAGAAAAGGACGTGTCGCGCGCGCAGAGAGTGAGCGAGAGAGAGGGGAGCACACGCGGGCGGCACGTCGTCTGCCACTGCGTGACAGCGTCGACTCGTATGCGTTTCTCTCTTTCTCTCTGCACGCCGTACCGCCGTCGCGTCGCCGGTATGTTATAAAGCTTGCCCCATCGCTTTATTTTTTATGACACAGAGGGGACAGCGAGCTTTCTCTCTTTCCGCGTGTGCGCTGTCGCGTGATATCGTGCGTTTGTTTGCCGTTTCGCAAGGCTAGACGAGCTTTTTCCAACGAAAAAAAGGTAAAGAAAACACTCGAAAGACAATTCTACGCTTATGTGCTTCTCCTTTTAGCTTTCTGCGTGGAGCGGGATGTATGCTTTATTTCAGAGCCAGACTTCTTGCTGGCTTTATGAGAGCAGGAATTCTTATGCGTAAAGCTTGTGTTTTTGTCCGGCACGTTTAAAAAATGGCTCAAGTGTACATCGAAGATTGTTTTTACAAGCGTCGAATTATCATTTCGCGTTTATTTATTTTTCTTTGCTATTCAATGGGTGTTCGTTGTGCAGCGGCTGCGATATGCATATTGTTCTTTGAATAACATGCTCTACTGTAATATATCAAAGCTGAACTTGATGAATACATTGTTTGATATTTACCTTTAAAGAACGTTAGATTTGTGTAGCAACAATAATCGCTACATTGATTTCGGCAACGGTCTTTCTGTTTCTTCTTTTTAATATCAACTGCCATAATTATTCCTCAATATGCTGTTTATGATATTTTAAAAGTCAAAAGTGACTTTATTATAGACCGCCAAATTTCGCTTATCAAATTCCATTTTCTTATACGAGATTTATTGACAGTAATGCGATAGAGTTATTCCAATGTATAAACTAGTACAATTTGTCCACACGATCATTACTACCTAAAAAATTTGTCTACCGATACGCCTGATAAAATTCGTGTTATCACCTGATCAAATTTTACAATAGGAATATGTAATATTCTTTGTATACACTTTGGCATATACGATCCTCAACTATACCTGTATACATAATACCGTGAGTCATTCGAGTTTCAGCTTGCTACTGGATTTCAACCTAGATACCGAAGCTTTTGTACTTCTTTACGTGTACCATGGATTTTGATGTTAAAAAATCCAGATTGTTGGCTTCACTGCTCAAACAGCTTATAATACTTGCAATGATTGTACAAACAAGAGGAGAAGAGAAGCAACTCGCCATCGAAAATTCGATCAGCTGGGTGCGGATTGACCCCGACAAATATAATTAAGTCTCGAGTCACGTCCATGATCCGCAAACTGCGCTCTCATCCTCTCCGCGGCGAGCGTACACATCGACGTGAGAATTGTGAGGCAGCCGGTCTATTTTTGCGTATTTCAACGTATAGTTTGGTATTGCTTGGCACCGCGAAAGCTGTGGAACAATTTTTACGCAATGGATCATTCAAGCGCGCTCCGCATCGTTCTCATAGTCAACCATAAAACGTACGAATGTATATACTTTCCCTGGAAAGGTCAGGCGCGCGTGCGTATAACAGGGAATCATTGACAGTTTCTCGCATTAGTCGTACTCGTTAATAGACTTCGCATTGATTTATCATTTCTCGCAGCCGCGAGTCGATGAAGGACTCAACACGGGCTGCGTCTTGCGAAACGAATTTGCATTTTCATAAAACGCATAACGAGACATTGATACTTAACGAGCCGCTGGTCGCCGATTGGAAATGCGTTGCGAAACACGCGCGCGTATTCCATCTAATTGAAAAAACAGGGTTGTAACGTCACTCCAGATCGGCGAGCTATTGAAAAGCAAAAACGAAAACAGTCGCGTACGATGAACGCTGGATGCATAGATTTTAGGCAACCTCCAAGTTGAGCGACTCGAGCGGGCTATCTAATTTTCAATCGCGAGCGCGCGCCTATACAGCTGTACGAAGCACAGCGGTGGAGGGGGTTGGGGATAGCGGTAGAACTCGTGGGCGGCGTAGCTCGTAAACTGTGTTAAAAGGCCTCTGACAGCGTGCCGTTCCAGCCCGCAAGAAAAAATGTATGTGTTTGGAAAACGCGCACTGCCAATTTTCGCCGCGCGCACCCCGCCGACGATCGTCGCTTCATTCGGCGGTACGCCTACACGGGGGAGAAAACGTTGCGCGCTCCTTGGTTCGCCACGTGAATTCGTTGAAATGCAAGGTGATCGCGGAGATGGCACGGCGTTCGAATTCGAAACGGAAAGGAAAATCCGATGGCTTTCTGGCGTAAGAGCTCTGCTGTCGAAAATAGAAGGGAATCGCGCCCGCGCGCTCCGCGAGTCGTGGGACCTAAAAATACACAGACTCAGTCACGCTAATAACTTTACCGAATAGACTTTAACGAAAAGCTATTAGCGCGCAGCCATCGAACCATTGCGCGCTCGAATCATCCGAACGGAAGAGTAATCGCTACACTTGCCACCATTCGAACTGTGTCACTGGAGCGCCATGTCAACGTTTTCGTGTGATTCGTCGGCTATTTTTTTTTCTTTTTTCTAATTGAGCCCCATTACGTCGCGCAGCAATCCGCTGCCTTTGTCGCCTCAAGTTCATTGTGCCTTTATCCGTCGAAGGTTAATGGGTCGACTCAAGCGGAAATCGATGAAAAGGATTGCATTTTTATCGAGATGCTATTGTTCGATAGGATCTGTCTATTTTATTTTTTCAAGAATCACGGCGAGGTAATGGCCTGATTAGCTACGGCATTCTTTAAAAGCAGTTTTGAAAAACCCTCGCGGCTTCGGCGCAAAGATCGTCGATTCCGACGTGGGCAGCGTGCGATGCTCGTCGCCCGAACCACTTCCCAGAGCGTCCGTCACGCTACGCTTCGCTCACGGGCTCTCTTTCGTTCTGTCAACTTTCAAGCTTCAACGAACTTTGCTCGGCTGATTCTCGTCAACGACCCGATCGGTACGGCGAGAAGCGCGTCCTGTTATTTATCGGCGTGTCGCCCAACGTTTTCTCCCGATATAAACATCGAGTCTTACGCCGAAAGCTCCGCTGGATCCTCGAAGGACACGCTTTACGGCGCTCCGAGGATCCCCTCGTGCATTAACTTTCAAGCCTCATCAATATTTCGCGCGTAGCCTCTCTGTCTCTCAAGCATATGTATATACGCAGCGAGCTTTCCGAGTGCAAGAGAGCTACAGGCACCTTGAGAGGGTTTAGACGTGCGCGACCCCGTTTCTATGTCTTTCGTTGTCGCCTTGACTTGCCCGAAGGTGAGTTCACACAATCGCCAGAATTGTACAATCTTGTACAATTAATTTTTGCGCGCGGGACACCTCCGAAGGCCATATTTTTCTTTCTTTTTCACTCGTTTGCTCGTTCCTGATCTCGAGTCCCTTGCGCCTGTAAACTAGATTCATAAATTTCACGCCTGCATTTGCGTTTCGTTGTGCATGCGTATTTTCTTTCGTTCGCCAATAAAAAGAATCGCGTGAAAAAAAAAGAAAAAAAAATCCGTGAAAGTCGTCATGTACAGTGTACGCGAGAAAAGTTGTCGCAGCCTGTACGCGCGCGCGCGCGCCCCCGCAGGGTTACAGTCAAGTGTGCACAAGTACTATATGGCGAGCGCGAGAGACGCACACTTTACTTCTTTTCGTCGGTCAGTCGGCCGTCTACGGCTCGTGTGCGCGCATATACTTTCTTTTGTAATAATCATGAATTCGTTGAGGTTCGAGATTAAACCAAACGGCAATCATAAACGGAAGAGCAAATCGACTCCCAAGAGGGTTCGCATCAAAGTCGTATCGTGAGTACTGGAAACTCTTTTTTCTGTTTGGCGTACGGCATCGTTTCGTCGATCAATTTACATTCGTTGATAGCCCTTCAATCTCGAATTCCGTTGGCGGCGGGAATGCCCCTCGCGTCGCAACTCGCGTGCTTATCGTAAATTCCCATCGTCGATTCTTCCTATTACATCTGTCTGCGATGACGTTCATTCGTACGCTGAGCATAGAGAATCTGCGTCTGTGTCACTTCTCGGCCGATTTCCGATTTCCAATGTTGCCCCAAGGAACTTTGCGATGGTCTTGCGGATTCAATCAATGTTAGTTCTTCTGGAATGCACGTTGAACGGAAAGACTATCCCGGTCAACTTTTTTGCTTTAGCAACTTTCATTGCCGCAAGTATCCGTGAAAGCTGGTTTACAAAACTTGCGCGTGAACGACACTGGGGAAATTACATTGAGTGCTCGTGAAAATTACGAGTTGGTGGATGTGTAAAGACGGCGAGGTATTAAAAATTGAAATATTATCATTGAAGAAATTCAATTGTTAAAAACTTGTGAAATTTTGTTTTAACTAGCTGAAGAAGTTTAAAACGCATTGAATGTGATTTTGTACCTATTTTCCCACGAAGCTTGATAATTAGTAATTGAATGTACGAGAAAAAGCACATGTTCGTGTAATTTTGAATTTACTTGAATTTTATAAACTGTTCATTACATTTACGCGCACATCACCTCTGCACGATGTTCATCTTAAAAACAATCGTGATCAAGCTGTCGTACGGCATTTCCTAAATTAACCGAACTTTCACTCTAACAAGCTTGCAAATGAAAGTTTAACTAGCTATTTAGAACTTCAATCAATAAATTTTGCGAGCACTTCACCGCCAGCACCCGAACCAACGTAAACTTCTCGTAAATCTATTCCCTTCCTTCCGTATCTCGTAAAATTTCGCGTACGTAATCGATGATTGCGGGTCGGGCGGGGGGTGGGGCGAAACACGCGATCCGTTGAATGGCGAGTTGACAAATGGTGTGCTTAACGACGCCCACACGAGAGGGAAAGGCGACCTGTTGTCGCGCGAAAGCCAAATGAAGACGCCCGATTGCCGGACATTTGCATAGATAGGCGAAACCTGCTGCCTGCTAAGCTAGGGCGTTTCGGACTTCCGTGACTGTCCGGGCTTTTTGCATAATTCGCGTGAGTTTGCTGGGCTATCGATATGTAGCTGGAACGAAAAAAAAAGGGTGATACCCCGACTGGAATACGCGTATATTTTTCGAGCGAGATGACTCAAAAGTAGATCTACGCAGTTTGTCGTTTTATTTTCATTCTCGGATGATCGAGTGATGCATATGCGTGACTCGCAAATTAGACGCGTCATTTTCTCGTCAGCGTCGTTACAAGCTTTGACGGTGAAATTACTCGAGCGTCGTTCTTCGGATTTCGGACCTACGCCCCTACAAAACACGTACCCCCGACATAATCGATCCAGCGGCGTAAAGCCTCTTGAAAATGTCCACGCGCGGATAGACGGGCAAATAAGCCTGCCTCGATAACTCGAGGACTCGTTGCAAAACAGCTCGAATCAGCGAAAGCCCTCGCTCCATTGTGCGCCGGTCGATTGTACATTAAGCGGCGCGATTCCATCGGAAAATTACAGCTTTTCGTCGTTTTCTTTTCTGCAGCTTCGCGTCGGTCATCGTAATCACGCGCGAGAGTGGAACTGAGATTATTATTCGCTCTTATTTTTTTTTTTTCTCAACAACTGCACGTCAAAGAAAGGCAATTAGGTCAACGTTTGCGTTACCTTCGTTTTATCGCAACCTTTCATCCGAAGAAAGTCCGGCTCGTTTTTTATTTTTCTTTTTTTTTTTTCTCCTTTCGTTAATTAACTACGCGATTATGGCTACACGATCTCGCGGCAATGTCAAGCCCTATCATTTTGATCGTTTTAGTGGTACGATTAGACGAATGCTCAATTTGAACTTGTGACGTTTGGACGAGTCATTCGTTCACTCGTATATTACGAATAAATTTGAAAGCCTTTGACGATCGATCGCCAGCAAATGAATTAGCCGCATCGGTCAATCAAACCACGTGTCGAAACTCGGAAAAGCAGATCAAACGTAGAAACCTTCCGCGCACTCGGTTTTCCCGGTTTCGAGCGACCTAATTAGCGGTTACATTCCATCAACCCGATCGTCGGCTCGAATCCGCCAAGGAAATGCATGCACTCGTTGTTCTTTGGCACTGGCAGCAGCGCGCGATAAGTATCTCTTGCGCCTGCTCCGTAGCTTGCCGCATTTACTTTCTTTCTCTCGTCCCTCTTGTCTTTTTTTCTCGCCGTCAAGGAAGCTGCATTGCGGTTGCGAGATGCACGTTTTTCACGCCCCCCAGTGATTTTTTTTTTCGTCGCCGCGCCAAGGTCGACCGTTCGAGCTCGTACCTTGCGCACCTCGTTCGCGAAATATATATTTCTGAAGACTTTCGAATATGCATTATTTTAATACTTGAAGTTGATGTGGCGTGGTTTTCAATAAAAAAAATGTAACAGTTATTAGAAATAAACTTTAAATCCTAAGAATAGTTGATCGCGAAAACTTTATTTTTGTTATTGGTATTTAAGCAATAAGAAACTCAAAGCAATTTCTTGAAACGACATTGGTAACTCAATAATGCTCTGTTATTTAGAACTGATGGCGTAAGAATCGAATAGTTTATGCGAGTAATAACAACTTCAAACTTTCTTTTCGTCATGGTAGCCATAAAAAAAAGAACAGCCGAAACAAAATGTTTATCCTCTTAAAGGTAAAGTATATATCCGTTGAAAATTTGTGGATCGAAAGCAGAGCCGATGTTACGAAGCAAAGACGTTCACCTCAGCTCCAAGAAAAACAAAAGCGATGGCTCATACCCGCAGCAGTTCACGGTTCGTCTAACGGATCGTCGTCGTTGTCGTGTCCATTATATTATACATCAGATCGCCGAATAGCCGAATACACGTACACTTTCGTGCCCCAATGGCCGATCTAATTCTCGCGTGCGCGTTGCCTTTGATTGTTCGACCAAGATAAACCTACGAGTCACTTGGGCTTGTCGAATTCAAATGTTCGTAGTGCTGTGTATATTATTGGTAAGTTCCATGTGCGTTGAACGTTATGCTCTCTAATAACTAACAGTTATTGAATTGCCACGCGATCCTCGGTCAATAACATTGAAAATTCTTCTATTTAGCATTTTGTACGGAAATCGTAAAATCGATTGGCTCTCAAGGAAATGCAATTTTGAATCTCAGATGGCGCCCCGAAAATATCAAACAGTTCGTGGAACACGAAAAGCAATATAAGGCCCACAGGCTCTGGGACAGAGAACTAATCACTTACACACACAAGAAAATCGGGTTGGGAAATTAGCACGACTGGAACAATTAATAAAGCAAAGAAATATCTAATATTACGAGCTGCTATAATAAAAGGAAAGACTGCTGTAATGTATTAAGAATGCATCAAGCGCAGGTTGTCGATTGACATCAATTAAAAGCATAGTTGATCGCTTTTTCTCTCTTTCTTTTTTATATTTTTCGAAAACATGCGCTGGTGCTCTCTCTCTCTCTCTCTCTCTCTCTCGCTCGCTTTCTTGTCCTTTTGCGTTGGCGTGTAATTTAAATAACAAAGCACCATCACCATAGCTGCTTTCCAGCTCACGGAAAAATAATAGGCTGCAACACGCCGCTGCGTCTGCGCCATCGCGAAAAGTTCACGGAGCCTTATTTGCATGAAGAAGCGAGAAATAAAAGAGAGAGAGAGGGAGAGAGAGAGAGAAAGCGTCGGTCGTTAGAAAGAAAACAACAGTTGGTTAACACGCGTTTCGCCAATCTTATTATACAATTGCAGTATGCACTTTTACTGAGCACGAAACTGCAGGTGTAATCGTTAATTACTGCGGCTTTCCTCGAGTAATTATCGCTGAGTTTGCTAATTGGCTAAAGCTGTTTAATCATCTTTTACGAAGCCAGGATTTTTTCTTTTTTTCAATTTTCATCGAAAATAATTGCGTGAATGTCGACAAGGCGTGCCGCGCGTTATTCGCTACGGAAGCTAAGTGACGTGCCTCGTTCCTTTCACGCGCCTACGCAAGTGCGTGCCACAACTTCGATTTTCCACGCCTTTTTTTTTTTTTAATGAAAAAGAGAACACGTAACGCGGTAAATAAACCAATTCGTACACGGACTTTTCGGAACATCCAACGAGGAATGAAGGACTTTAATTTTCACAACAAAAAGGGGAGATTAAAAAATCTTGGTGTAAAAACGTTGCAACCAAAAAATAATTGGCAAGCAACAATATAACAAAAAAGAAATCAATGCGTATTTTGCTTCTGAATCCATCGGAAGTCGCCGAGCCTGAGGTATCTGACGACTTTCCAATAACGCGGGCCAAGCTCGCGCAAACTTTTGTACACGTTATCACGATTTTGCTCGTTCAGATGACTGACGAATGCTTTGATCTGGCCCATTGTCATTTTAACGTTGAGAGAGCGTAAATTGCCAAAGACTTTTTTACCCAGCAACCGATAAAATTTGAGACTTCGACAGTAAACGCCATCTAAATTGATTGTGTGCAGTTGCTGGCAACGCTCGACCAGCCGTCTCATTAGTGGTGCTTGCAGGTACATTGTTGATTCGTCTGCAAGTGATATCAACGATTGTTAATTTTTAATTGACTTGGGGGAAGGTCGATCGTGGCTTACCGTGTTTGTACGTTATTTGCAGCTCTTCTAAATGTTTGTTCGACAGTGATATTTGCCGGACGATGTTGTTCGTGTCGATTCGATTTCGTATCACAATCTTCTTCAGTAAACTCATTCGCTTCAGGTTGCTGATGATTTCGGATGGCGCTGTCTTGTCGTCCAATATCTGCAACAAGCACGCGCGCGTACACACACACACACACACACACACACTCCGCCAATAAAGATTTGTGTTTGTTTTCGCATCCTAACCTCATTTGTTTCAAATGTACAAGTCGTAGCCATACACCACGACCCATAAAAAAAACCGTGCAAAAGCATTATGAAGAAAATAAATAAACAAATAAAGAATCGAGTCAAAGCTCAAAATTGTCGTAAATTAAAGCAAAGAACCTCGTACTCCTTCCACAGTGACGGATGTAGCGCGATGGACTGCAGTTTCCTTGACGTGCGTTTGAGAGTCTCGAGATCGCGGCAGCCTAGGTATCCCATAATTTTCAATTGAATTTCCACCGGCAATTCCAGTAATCTACTGCTACGCTCCGGCATCGTCGTGATCGGTTGTACATGTTGACAGCGACGTTTCTTAGCTTCGCTTCTCGTCAACACACCGTGATCATGTGCTACCAACGTATTATTACGAATTTTACAATTGATCGCTCTTCGCCGACAGATTCTTCCCATTTCTTTTCCTAACTACGACGATAATTTCGAAAGAGTTTGCGACAACACGCCGCGCATGCTTTCGGGCTTTTTTCTCGTTGGAATCACCTTCTCCCGGTCGATGCTTTTTTCAGTCTTTTTTACTGGTTATAAACCGAGAGTTTATCATTTCTTTTGACAGATCCACGTGAAATTGGCCGCAATTTGCAAATCGCATATGCTTCGCGGGTAAACACGTAACACACGTAACGTCGCTCTCTCGAGTATGCAATCGACATGATGCATTCGCTTTGGCACGCCAACCGGCAAACATTCGCGTCTGCGTTAACTGTTGCATCGTTTCGCGCATCATCCGCATACGCGATCTTCTCAGTGTCAAATGCATCGGAATAGACGCGCACCAGGCAGAAAAAAAAAACTGCGCGCCTCGTGACGTTCCTCGAACAAATAACGATGTTTCGTCGAAAAATCATCCTCGATCGCGTGAAAAAGTTCGCTGCCCTCTCGCCTCGCAAAGTTCATTGCCCTGCTTCTCTATTACCTGGCGCTGGCACGAAAGCTAAGCATATTGCGCCTTCTAAACAGCATCGTCGCGGCGCGGTTTTCTCTCTGACATGCGTGACGATGCGCGGGTCGCGTCGCGAGTGGAATGCTCGAGCGGGCGCGGGAGCGATATACGTCGATTAAACGAAAAAAAAATAAAATAAAAAAAATTGAAACCGCGTACCTCGTAGGAAGACCTCTCTCTTTGACCGGCGCCGATGCCTGCGTACGTCTGTCGACGCCGCGACGGAAATAATTGGCGCGCGTCTACGCGCTGCGCTAGGTAGGTGGGTTGATTCCTGCCTCTACCTCCGGTCCGTGCCGCGCACGTAGGCGATAGAGCGACACGCGCAAATACGTTTAATTAGGTTAGCGTGCGTAACGCAAGCTCGGCGCGCATATTCGCCCGTTTCCGTTATCTTGCTGTTGCACTTCAAGCGAAGCACTTGTCAAATTGATTTTTCCCCGCGACCGGAGAAACTAGTTCGCCTATTCAATGTCATAGCTTGACGGACACTCGTTCATCGTCGTTGCGAGCTTTTTTCATCTAATTTTCATGTGTCACGTAAGCCCTTCCATTGGCGCGGAGAGAGAGAGAGAGAGAGGCGAGCGTTTATAACCTTAACCTCGGAGAGCAATCGATTGTTCGACACGAGCTGAGGTTTATTTGTATAATTGTCGTTGATTGCGACGATGCTCTGGAAACTGTGTCGAGTATAGGCTGCTGCGCGGTTTAGCGAGTGCGGCCTTGAGCTGCACGCTCCCAAGGAAGCGTGTACTGACCAAATTATAATCGTGCTTATTTATCGTGTAATTCAATATGCTATTCATCAGTTTAAAAACTCGAATTGTCGCTCCATTACAATCAGACGGATAATCTATGTCGATTAATCCATGCGTCAAACTAGAACATCGTCAATTGAAAGTAGGCGAAAGCCAAGAACCAGAAAACAATTTACCACGTAAATTAATCCATAAGATTCCGCCGTGGCGAGGCTCCATAAGCACTAGCGTCGCGCTCGAGCCCACCTCGAGTTAAAACGAGGCGAGGGTCTTTGCCTATGTGTCATTGGCTATATTCGCGACCTTTATGGTCGTTTCTTTTCTGTTCAGTCGCGTGTCTCTATGCACATAGAAGTCTCGTCTCCGCATGCACTCGCGCTCGGGCTGACCGAGTTAGAGTTCCGTGGCGCGTGCCGCTGGCTCGTCTTCGGCGCTTTCGCCCGCGCCAGCTTCCGCACCGCACGGTCCGCGCGAGGCTCGGTCTCTCGTCACGGTGAGCTCCCTCGCGCGACCGGACGCGTCGCGCTCGTCTCGGCGAACGCGCCGGGCTTGCTAGAGCGGGACACCGCGTTGGAATTTTCGTGGGTCGGCGATCGGCGCCGATGATTTCTTCCTTTCGGAATGTCGATTTTTCGAACGACCCGGCACGCAAGCAGAAACAAAGCGTATATAGCGAGCCTCGCGCGAAGGACATCGGCATCAAAGCAATCAATTTGCACGATATCTGACTGACAATCGAGCGCGATCGATTGTCGTAATCCGTGGCTCATAAATTAATGCACACCGCGAGAAAGCTACGCCTGCGTTATCGTCCTTGACGCTCGCTAACGTTAAGCTTCTGCCCGTGGCACGCTTCACGTCGGCTGCCCGGCTGACCGCGTGCGGTTTCGGCTTATTCCTCGTCGAATTCAATCACGCTCGCCGCAATCGCGCTGGAATATCATTTCAGCTTTGCTGCTCTCCTTATTTTTCAGCTGCAAAATGCTGTCGCAGATGAAGAGCATCACGCTGGGCAAGTTGGAAGGTAAACGCTCCAAGCAGCTCATGTCATCGTCCAGCCTATCGGGCATGTCGCAACTGTCCAACAGCAGCGAGGAGGCGCTCGAGCCTTATGTCCACAAGCCTCTGCACAGTAACGACAAATCCGACAGGTGAGTATACTTCGCGCGCGCGCTTCCCATTCATTTTTTCTTCTTCTTACTTAACCGCCTGACACTCTCGATATGTCGCTTATAATTGAGTGGGTTTCGAGGAGTTGTTCGATGAAAAGACGCGCTCACCATTTACATACTTTCTAAGCAATCAATTCTGGCAGCCGCTCGTCTTGTTGAGCAATTTTAATGCACGCGCTGATACTTTCGAAACGAGCATTAAAAGCGAGCAATGAAACATCGGTTACACCGGACTCACGATCGAGTAAACGATATAATAAAAGAGAAAAAAAACAAAACCGACGACATTATTGCCGCACCATACTTATCAAAATGAGACCTATCCGGAATTTCTCGACCTGCCTGTCGCACGCATTTTGCATATTACTCGCAGAACGGTTTGTAGATAATCCTCGCGAGAACCGACGCCCGGTTACGCGATTTTTCTTTCCATACCTTGGCAGGTATCGTCGTTACCGATGCGCGGCGCCAGCTCTCGGGAAAGAACTCGTGTACGCGAATCGATCGTCCCTCCCTGTATTACCGTGCTTATCGAATTTGAAAGCCGTCAATTTTTCAAACCTGCCGAGCATGTCTCTCGCGCGGAAACTGGTCGTTTCAAGCTGACGAGACTCGTACTTGCTTTTAACGAGCGCTTCGCGAAAGTTAACGTGTGCGTTTAGTCTTCTCGAGTGTCGTGTTGTTAATACTGTACATGTTGCTCGTTTCGCGTACATCGTTTCCTTTTGCCAGATGATTTGTTGCTCTTCGCTATCGGGTCGCTCCTCGGAAAATTTTCGCTGTGAGCGCGAAAAGACGTTTCTCGAACCTAACCGATTGCGCGCACGTCGATACGAAGCTACGGCTGTCCTGCGTCGACCAAGCGGGAAACGTCGAAAGTACAATCGCGCGAAATAACCGACAGAATCGAGCCGCCCCCCAACGCGTCGCGTTCGCGCGGGCACGTAGCGAGGAACGCGCGAGCGTGGACGAAAGAAGAGAGACACGACAACGAAGCGCGAAACGATGCTGCACGCGCGCATAATATGCTAATCAGACGTGGCGCGCGTGCGAAATGTTGACGTTTCACGGCGGCTTTGGTTCGTTAGCGCTCGGCCGAATTTCACAAGCAGCCCCGAAATTCGGATGTAATGAGAACGGAAGAGACGCCCAGCTTGTAAAGGCAGCCCGCAAAGCGGTCCCGCGATTCTTGCTTCCGTTCGCAAACAGGAGGAACGTCTCCCTTTCATTTTTCTTTTTACGGCTTCGTAGCGGGTTTTCGAGCGCGCGAAAAACCACGTGCTTCGCACATTTTCTGCGCGCTCTCCCGTTGCGTGGCTTTCGTTGTATATCGTCGAACGGCTATTCGGCGTTGCCCTTTCAGCCGAGGGCGTTGGAGATAGCCTCGTTTCGGGTTTTTTTTTCTCCGCGTGCTTCTGCGTGGTTCGCTATACCTTCTTTTTCTACCGCCATTACGATGGGTTATAATTCAACAGTGTATTATCGATCGCGGTACTTTTGAAAGACGAGCGCAAGACGTGCCTTCAGTGGGAAGCATGCAGTCGACTTCATCAGGAAGATTCTTACTTTTGTCCCGCCCATTCGACATTCGTCAACGTGACTTTCAATTATTAGCATGGACAGCCGTATTTGAGCAATTTCATCACGCAGATTGATTATTAACTTCGGAAATGCGCCTTTTCACTCAAACTGATACGTTTTATCCCTTGGGTATACCGTGAGCGACTACGAGAGATGCCAGAAATTCAAATTATTACGATCCTCGTTTCCAAAGGGAAGTTTGTTTGAATCAAGTTCTCGTTCGGTTCCCTCACTATTTAGTTTCATAAGTTACGTCGCTATGATTTCGATTGCAGTTAGCTATCATTTCGTATGCACTATACAGGCTGTTTCACTTAGACCGTCGTCGCAACTGAAAATTCACGCTAATGGCTCTTCTGAATCATTTGCCTCGCACGTTAAATTCTACGACTTCGAAAATCAACATTAAGTACATTGCTATTCGATTGCAGCACGGCGAAAGACAGAAGCGCACAGTCGAGCGAGTGGCTTTTGAGCGGACCGAGCGGTAACAAAAGCCCGATACTACGGTTCAAGTAAGTATAACGAACCAACCTCTTTCCTCTCCTCTCTGAATCAAAAATAGAAATTAATGCTCCCTGCGCGGATTTATTCCTTTGTAGATGTTCCGCGCTAGCCGAGCCTCCGGAAAATCCACCTGCAAAGCAGCTGCACATGACGTACAAAATCTTCCAGGCAGATACCAAATTGATCAACGTTCTCTTGCAGTCCCACGGCCTAACAGAGGTACGTTCATTCGACAATGGGAATTTCAAAAGACAAAAAAAATTGTAAAAGTTCTCTTCTACAAGATTTTTATTAATCATAACGTTGTACAAAAGGATTTGGCACACAATAACTCTCGATACACGAGTATATTGGCGTTAACGAGAAGGGAATACAGGATAGGCGGATATCGCATAATTGACGCGAGGTGTTACAGCGTGTACATGCATGTGTGTATGTATATTTAATCGGTCGATTTTTCAGAAATGCACGAACTACAACGGCGTTGCTATGCTGCGTAGCTACACAATCTTCTCTACGTAGGTGCGCAATTAGATATCTCGTATCTGTTGCTGCTTGCTTTATCTCCTTGTATACCGCGAGATTACATATAACGATCGTTAAAAAGTCGAAAGCATAAATCGATGCGAGATTACAATCAAGAGCTTACTGGCTAATACGTCCTTAATCCTATATATGCGCAGGTGATCTTCTTTTTATGTCCACGACGACGACGACGACGACGACGTTTGCGAAAAGCTAATTGCGAAAAAAGAAAATCTTTCGAGAATGTCATCTTTTTCTTTTTTTTCTTCACCATGCTCTCGCAAAACAAACAAGTTCGTTACTGCATTTCGATGCTATGCTGTCACGCAGCATCGAAATTGCAATTATAATGTATATATCGAGTGGACAGGGATTGCGGGGGCTGACGGCGAAATATCGGTAATACTGATGAATTGACAGTCCGCATTTGTTTTTCGTGGAGAGACAGAGAGTGAGAGAGTGAGAGAGTGAGAGAGAGAGAGAGAGAGAGAGAGAGAGAGAGAGAAAGAGAGAGATAGATACAATGTGAATGGCAGCTATAGAACGTAAAAACAAGACCAGTCCGTCCGCCTTAGGAGGAACATCGAGCGGACAAGTTGATTCATCGCTACTGAATGCAATTGCTCCAAAACCAATGTGATCCAGGACACAAATCCACGTCGAGATTCGCCTTGGCAAGTGTATTCCTCAGCGTTCTAACTCCTTCGCAGTCAAGACCCCAATTGGCAAGATTACCAATCCTCCTCAGCTTACCGCAACTCTTAAACATGTTCAAGACCGTGGAAGCCGACACTTTACTCGCCTCGTAGATGTAGAAGCACTCGAGATTCTGTACCAAGCTGTTGCGCTGCGCTTCGGCACGTCGCAATCCATACGACTTTGGCGGTTTGGCAGGCTCGCTGAGCAGCTTTTCCAATTGTTCGTTCGTCAAGTCGAAGCAGCTGTGCACGTGTAGAGCCGTGAGTTCTGGCGCCAAGGACAAAATCTTGGTGATGGTCAGTGCGCTCACTGTTCTGCCCAGCTGTACGCTTCGCAAGTACTTCATAACCGGCGGATCAGGACCAGCAGTCCAGATGACGTTGGAGCCATCCTTACTGAAAGTTAGCAAGTTGGGACAGCTCGCGAAGATTTCCTTGAGATCGATGTCAAGTGGCACTTCGCTCTGCGCAATCCTCAAATCCAGTTCCTTCAGGTTCGACCCGTTGATTCGCAGATATCCGTAGAACCCGTCGAGCCATTCCTTCTGCACTGGTATCCCGTGGACACTCAGCGACGTGACGTACGGGAACAGCCTCAAGCCCTCCGGTGGATGATGTGGCTCGGATATGTGCAGTTTCTCCACTCGCGGACACGCTTGCGCAAGCAACTCCAACCTCGCGGGAGTAGTTCGCGAACTCCTCGCTTGGGTCAGACTGAACGGCGTTTTAAAGTCGATCACGCCGCGATTCATGATCTCCACCACGCGACCCATGTGACTATATTCCGCGAGCGATTCCAGCTGCGGCACGTGCATCAGTGCCAATAATACTCCGGCGCTCGTCACTCCGGTGTTGGCAACGTTCAGCACTCTCAACGTGTCGCAGAGGAAATTTCGACTCTCGCAGTGATCCAGCAGCACCTGCTTGTCTCGCTTGTCCGATCTGGGATTCTTCATCTTCAATTTTGACAAGAGGCTCTTGATTTTCGACCAGCTAGTAGCTTCTCGACTGGCCTGTCGTGGCGCTCGGTCTCGAAACTCGACGTGCATTATGAGTTGCTTGAGCCCGACATCGGTCACTTGTCGCGAGCAAGCGACGTCGAGCACGATGAGCTTGGGACAAGCTTTGCCCACCACCTGTAGCACCGTATCGCTGGCAATGTTGCGAAGCGTCAGCTTCTGGAGATTCTTCATGTTCATCAGCGCCGACTTGAGCAACTTGCAGTCCAACCGCAGCAGTGCCGATCTTGCGAGCTCCAGCGACTCCAGGCCAACTCCCTCGGTTGCCAGAAGTTTCAGCAGTGACGTCTGATGACTGCAGCCGTAATAGCAGCACAAATTCACCTTCAGTCTTTTGATGTCGTGACCGAGTAGCAAGGCCAGTAGGTATAGTGGCGCTGGTCCGGAAATCAACGTAGATCCATCGGTAGACGGCCCGTACAGCATCCTCGACGTCTCGTCGATGACTTGCGATCTAAGTCTGGCTGTGAGTGCATTAGCGTAGTACGGCCTGATAGTCTGCTTAGCGAAGTTGAGTACTTGTGCGGCGGACGATTCCTGGGAGAGCACCTGCAGTCGGCGGCACGTGCCGTCCAATACTTGGCATACTCGCTGCAAGCTCAGCAGCTCCAGACTGTTTGGCTGGCGGTGCCCTGGCATTTTGTAAGTGTGTGCTGCTGTGTTGTCGGCGCTACTGAAACATCCACCAAAGTGACTGCGTTAGAGACGAGAAACACGAGGCAAAGAGGATTTCGCTCGCGGGATTATTGCGATTCAAAGCGGCGTGTGCTGAATTTTGAGGCGAGCTTTACCCCGAAACTCTGCTCGTTTATTTTTCTCTTGTATAAAAAAAGAAGGTTGTTTTTGTTGGAATAACGGCGATTCAATGTATTTTTTTACGCTTTGTAAATGCTTTGAATCGATCGATAAAAGTACATACACACGCACAGCATCAGAGAAAGTGTCGAGCAGTAATCTCGAGGGTCGGATGTATATAAATGCAATTGCGCGCGCGACTTTTCAAACGGCAAACAGGCAAATTCAATAAAGTTCCTCAGAGTGGTCGTTGGCTTTTTTTTAGTCCGGCGATCCTTTCGTCGACTATGAGAGGTTAGCATTGCGACGTTAATTTTTGCCGCTTATTTTAAATGGCTACTCATCCAGAACGGTTGTGCGCACTTCGAATCAACGCGAATTGATTTTCATGCAAGCTATTATATATTTGTTTCCACGCGAGGTACCGTTATAAGCATGCGTACGCTTATACAATTGCTGTTGCTTCTTTTTTTTTTCTTTTTTATTATTATTGTCGCGCGCGCGCCGTTATCTTTTTAATTACACGGCTAACCTTCTCTTACGCGACACAGCGTTCGTGCATAATATAATATAACTACTACGACCAGGACGTAAACATTATTTACGGACATTTGTCTTCTTCTTGTCACTGCTGCCAGCATATATAAATATCCGTCGTAGATAACGAGCTCCTCGTTCAAAAATAAGTCTACTAACTCGATAAAACAAGTGATTAAGAGAGAAAAAAAAGAGAAACTACGCGTAACGAAGAAGACGAAACGCGAAGGATATGTTATGTCAAACTACTCATCGTATCTATATTACGCCATATGCACATTCACCATTACTGTAACCAAGAAGCTCACCTGTAACCATTGCGGCGGTCGGCTGCCTTTAATGTGTTTACAACGGTGACCTTCCAAATATACGAAAGTGTTCGACACAGAAAAACTGAACTTTCGATCTCTTTCACGTGGAGCGACAACATGCGAAATGTCGCGTAGCACGCGCACCCGTGCCGAAAGCCCGCGCGCTTTTATTTATTTATTTTTTCTTCTCTCACCGCCAATCGACAAACAACCAAGCGTTTTTAACGATTGTACGACCCAAGCGTTTTTGAATAATTTTCGAACTTCGATTGTCGCGAAAACGAATGATCCGCGCGTTATTATAATGCAACGCGGATCTGTCGTAACTCTTCGAGAAGCAAAAATAAGAAAGACAAAAAAAATATTGTCAAGTGCGAGCGACGCGAGAGGGTCATAAAACGTAAATTACGACTTTGCGGGAGTTTAATTAGATAGTCTTTTGAATAATTCATGCGTCTCTCATCATCATCATCTCAGCCGCAAAGGTATTTTTACACATATCGATTAGCGAGAGACAAGACGACCGTTCACCTCTTTTTGTTGCATTTTAGATGGACATACTTCCTTCTTGTTATTTTTTCTTTTTTTTTTTCGTAGCGTAAAATCGGAGTACAACTTTGCGTTCGCGTGAAATATACGAGGACAGAAGATCGTGCAATCGTAACGTGAAACGTGACTCTCGAAAGCATAATACAGGAACCAATTACGAACATCGTATCGACGAACTCACGTGCTGCGCGGAACTTATACCCAACCCTCCACGGTAATTAGACAAAAAGCTTATATTAGCTGCGCAGATATTGTTAGTAGCCGATATTAGATATGACAGAACGACACGCATGGGTGAATCTGCATATGTGTGTGCGCGCGTATGTTTGTGTCTTATTATCTCTAGCGTGTATACGCAGGATTGTTTTTACGTCAAACTCGACTACGATATTAGTTTTTTTGCTCCGCGCGACGATGTGTCAGCAACCTCATCGTTAAAGGTCCGGTGGTGGTATCAAATTAATTTAATTACCTGGCGTGACAGCCAAAATTGATCGATGTATTTTTACAAGGCAAGGCGTGCCGAATAAAATTTGGCCGACGAACAAACAACAATAGCAACTAGGAACAATTCTTGGGTAAATAAATTTGATCGAGTAATTTCATATGTGCGCAAGCGCTCTCCGTGCCAGTGAATTTCACTGCCGTAAACAAGTGGCGTTTTCCCGAGTGCGTTATCTTGACGTTTCCTCGTGCTGTTCTTTTTTTCTCTCTCCCTCTCTCCCTCTCTCTCTCTTTATACCGGTTTTCACACCGCTTATACGTGCATTTGCACTTATAAATACTTGTCACATAAATACTTAAACTGCCTCTGGCAAAGTCAAACTAATTTATTGATGCTCCCCCCCCTCTCCGTAGTCTCTCTCTTGCACAATTCTTTCTCTCTATCTCCCTCTCTTTCTCTCTCTCTCTCTCTCTAAAGGATCGTTGTCTCTATCGTTTTGAAAAAAAAGTTGCTGCTCGTGAAAATCCACTATCTTTTCCATTGATTGTGAAGTGCGTATCAAGCAGCACGTGGACGCGCAATAGCCGATAAAAATTGCAAGCAGTCAAGCTCGTCGTTGAAGGATTTCAGCAGCCCTGCGCACTGCAACGTGCTACGGAGCGTTACACGCGACCTCTTCCAAGATATCGTCGCTGAAATCTAGGCGTGCTTTCGATCTCCGGGCGAGCCGGAAGCCCATCGCTCGACCCCGTGGGTGGAGTGCAAACGCGGAGGCCAGATCGCTGCGATCGCCCTGCGAATTCGATCTGTTGCGAGCCGAGCGCGCTCGTCGATTATTCAATGGACACCGTTGAAGTAACCGCGCGTTTCATAATTCACGCGCGGCGAGCAATGAGGCACGGATACATGGGCTTCGCGGCCAAATGGATAGCTGCGAGCGACGTGCATTATTACGGAGCGGCAACAAAAGCTTGTATGCGCAAGACAGAGACAGAGAGAGATGCATCATTGACGACGACGACGACGACGACGGCGACGAGGAAAATAAATCTCCGCGGTTCGCGCACGTCTCTCTTGGGAAATATGGCATTCCCTGCGCCTCGCGAACTGCTGTTTTTTTTTCAACTAGAAGCAACGCACACCGCGCCATTTATATTTGATACCGCCGTCGCGCGCGTCTGCAACTGTCGCAATCCTCTCGCTCGCCTTTCATTCCAAATTCAATTAAACTTGGCCAGCGCAAAAATCTCTCACTCTCTGACCCTGCGATATTACGGCGGAACGCTGACGGCGTCTTTGCCGCGGTAAAAGTTGCCTTCGCGTAAATTTTCGCACGCCGCCCGGACGTTTTGGCACGCGACGACGACGCGCCGGTGTAGCTCTCTCTCTCTCTCTCTCTCTCTTTTTGCACGATCGAATGTTGCGAGAAACGGGCGCGCGCTTTGTTTTCCAGTGGTAAGTTAGTAATGGGATCTTTGGCTCGGTCGCCGACGTTGTTTTCGCGCGGGATTGAAAATTACGACTTGCAATCCGGGTGCGCTCGGGCTGGCGACTGGCGGACCTCGCCGGCGATAATGTTTGCGCGCGCTGACGGCGCGGTTCGATGATTTGCGAACGTCGCCAAAGCGGGCGTGCCCCGAGGAAGCACTCGACGAAGACAACGACGACTTTCAATCGTTGCCCGATGACTCCGTGCAACCTCCAAGCCCTTCCTCGAGCTAGCCGCAATTCAGCACGCTCCTGCAATCACCGTCGTCGGCTGGGCGATACCTCGCTACAGATTTCTTCGCGCGCTTTCAAATTGGGCGCGCGTACGGATATTTTCTTTCTTTTTTTTCTTTTCATTTTCGTCCGGAGAGGCCGCCGCGTTATGCAATTAACGTGTGCCTGCGTGCAAAGCCAAGCAAGGCATTACGTAAAGGAGCCAGTATTTCGAGCGTGGCGCCCGGCGAATTCGACTTTTATTTCGGGACACGTTGAGCGCGACGCGTACCGCATATCCGCGGGCGCGGTGCATCTTCCTTGTCTCCCTCGAATATTACGTAATTTCGCTCCTAAGTTTGTTGAACTCGCGTGTCGCGCGAAATTGATGATTCGGAGTCCGAAGGCATGCACTTGACTTGAACGCTCATATCTAGACAAGAGAGAGAGAGAGAGAATTAACATCGTCTGCACTTGCACTTCACACTGTTTACACCGGCGACGAAGCAGTGAAGAGGAACGGCAACTTGCGCGCGTATAGATCGACTTGGCTTGCGTGTGCGAGTATATACTTTCGTTTCTCTCTTTCTCTCTCCGGCTTTGCAGGTTGTGCCGCGAGTGTATATAAACAAACGCATCTTCGCGAAAGAGCGAGCGGGAGAGAGGCAGAGAGAGAGAGAGAGAGAGAGAGAGAGAAAGAGAGAGAGAGAGAGAGAGAGAGAAGAGAGAGCGCATCGACCTCTCACTTGTAATAGCAGGCCGGAAAAGCGGAGAAAGCCGCTACGACGAAAGGAGGCTACCTACCTGTGCTGGCAGCGCTGCTATTCGAGAGAAGCGGTGTGTGCGTGCGCAGGCAGATATATCCGTCTCGAGGCGCGCGTGGCGTACGTGTGCGTTCGTGTGAGCGCGACGGGGCAGGCTGCGCTAGCCGAGAGACGGCAGCCACGGCTCGTGCTAGACTGGCTTGGCGCGCGCTCGGCCGCTCGACTTGACTGGCCGCCGCGCGACGGGCTGCGCGCGCAGCGACCTTCTCTTTCTTCTCTTCTCTTCTTTTCTATGCGCCGCGCGCGCCACGCACGCGCCTCTCGCGCGCCGTTTTGTCTTGCGTCGCCGTGCGTGCGCGTCTCCGTCAAAACAGACGGTCGGCGGCCCTCTCCTCCTTGCCTTCCGTGTCTTTCGTTCCATTTTTCCCCGGCGCGACGTGTGCGCCTCTTCCCTTTTACCCTTTCTCGTTTTCTTTTTCTAATTGGCTTGGCCGACGTAGCGGCTTCGTTAGCGGCCGACAGGCTGCGGGGTGCGTTCCCTTTTCGCGGAGCAGACGTCACGCGACGCGAGGCGACGAACCGACCAGCGAGAGGCTTTGGATGCCATAACCCCGACTGATTTGCCATCTCGCGACGAGCTTTTGGATGGGCTCGATTGCCAAGGCTCGCTCGCGCGCAGCAAGTACAGAGAAAGCTCGGCCGCCTCCGTGCCGTATAATAAATCGGCACGTCCACTCTGTATCTGTTTTCGCGAGAGTGCCACGCACAAGTAGAATCGCCGGCAACGGGTAATTTCTTCAAATTGCTCGCGCGCGAAATCATTCGAATAATCCACAGTATTAGCGCGACGGAAGTCTTGAAAATATCTCGTCCGACTCGACAAGCCCGTCTATTCTATAAACTCCGAGTGGGGTCGTCCCGAGATCCCGAAAATACACTCGAATCGTTCGCTTGTTCATCGACGTAGCGTAGTAGCGAGTGGCAATTTATATACGAGTATATCTCGACAGCGAACGATTTTATAAGCGAGCTGCTCGCTCGCGAGGTGAGCGGATCGTCGACCCCATGAATGCATTATATAGGCGCCGCCAGTGTATTTTTGTTGACGCGCTTGCAAATTGCATCGAGTCGCACGATCTGCCACACATTGCAATCATTCATGCGCACCGAAAGAGAGATTTGTGAATTAAAGAACAAAGGCTCGACTCGACGGCTCGTTAATTTTTTTTTTTTTTCGACCGCGTACGAGTATATAGAGTGCGAATGTACGTGTACGCTGGACGCTTGAGCGATAATTCAATTTTATTTGGCGGCATTCGATCAAATGAAAATCCTTTATCTGGGCGGCGTACGCTAATTGACGTGTAAACACTGAAGCTTACTAGCGTCGGTAAAATTAGCCAGAGATACGAATTATCAAATTAACGATCTGACAATTGAGTCGTAATCATTGAAGAGGACTCGCGCGCGCCGTTGATTGTCATTCATCTGTTTGGTATTCCCGCGCCTCGGTGTATATCCACGCGAGCGATAATTGCTTGGCGGGTATCGTGCATTTCGATCGGAAAACACGAGCGCGGAATTCCCAAGGCGCCGCGCACGCGACTTTGCTTACAATTTCTTTCGGCTTGCATCGGCTAACGATCGAGCTTTCGACGCGATCGGGAAAATTACTGTTGTAAAACCGATCGCGATTAGATAAGGAATAATGGCGCGTGTTGACGACGCCGCGCGACTTGCCGGCACGGACCAGTGACCATCGTCGGTGCGAGCATGGTGGATTTTCGACAACGAAAGCTTCTCGTGGAGCGCGTCGATTATTGGGTGACCCGTGAGTGGCCGACGCGAAATGCGGACAGCTCGGTCGAAAACGAAAGTCGACCGATCAACAGTCTAAGTTAGCCGAAAATGTAGGGGCGAGCAGGAAGCTCAGCGGACGCGGAACGATTGAGAAACGTCCCATGCTGTGAAAGCAAAGCAGCGAGATGATTAACATTTCGGAGCCGGTGTCGCGTTTCTATAGTGGCGAGCGAAAAAATACGCCTCGAAAGAAGGAACCCTGAAAAAGTTATTAACCGCAGCGGCGAGGTCGACGCCCTGCCCCCCTTTTTCCAAGCAATAAGGTCCTGCGCTAGCGAATCTCGAGCGATAAACACACGACGACAGCTCCTGACTCACGTTCTCTCTGTCTGTCTGTTTCTCTCTCAATGGTTCGACAGAAAAAATACTGTATCGCAGACGCTTCTCTTGGTTATCCTTGGGAGCACGTTTGTTTCTCGCGTCATCGCGCTCGTAGCCTCATTTGCCAAGCCGCGAGCATTCCCTCGTTTATCGCGGTGCTTCGCTCTCCGTTTTATGGATTGGCCGCGCGATGACGTTTTCGAGTTGCTTTCATTCGGCCCCGTCGCCGTTGTTCGCTCCTAATAGCGCGAGCCTGGCGCTCTTCTTTGCGCTGGCGCCTCGTCTCGTTAAACGGTTTTAGCGTAATTCGTTGCCCGCCGAGGGATGTGCCCCGTCTCGCTGCGCCGATCGCAAGTCACACTCCACAACGCTTTCAATTTTTTTTCTGCCAGTGCACATTTGTAGAGTCCATTGTTAGCTCGTCGCTTATTTCACGTAAGCGCAGCGAACTTGTCTCGCAAACTGATATTTCCCAAGGTACTAATGCATATATGTCAGCCCTTCGTATTGTTCGCCAAACTTTCCAGACGATCAGCCAAACTTCCATCGCGACAGGATCGTGCGTTAACTTCCTTTTGGACTCGTACCGTTCCATGTGGTCGATAGAATCGCATATTCTTTCTTTCAATATGTACAGATACTGCAGAGTAACATTACCCCCTCGAAAAGAGAATGCGCTGGTGAGACGTTGAGGAAATGGGTAGATTTCGTTAAATTTTAATCACCTACTGTTCCTTTGGAACTAAAAATCACAAACAGTTTCTCTCTCTTACGAGTGTTATGGATGTCTATCTCTGGAACTCTCTGCCCTAGTCTCTGGGACATGTGCCGTCGCTGGACGGCTTCAACAGGAGGGCACGTGAGCATTTTTTTTGAATTGGACGTGTAGGCCTGCGGTGAGTGCTACTGGAGTTATTTATAAACTTATTTTGACTGACAAAAATTGTCTCTAAAAGTTCTTTCAGACTACATTACTAGTCTTAAAGAAAATTCACACTAGTCTTGCAAATACCACGATAATGATTTATCTCTATAATAATTCTAGTCTAATATCTAGTCAACTTAATTATAAGTTATTTGTGTTGTTCAAATTTGTTAACTATAGGCTTTAACTGAGGAAATCTCTATGCACAAAATTATTTATTTATATTTATACATATTAATATTGCATCTCTGTGTGATTATACTGTGATATGTGATACATGATATTATAATTAATAAGATACTTTGACAAAAATTTTGCAAAATAAAGAAAATGTAAAAATTACAAATTATATTGTATATTTTTATTGTATATTTTACTTAACAGTAAATAAAGAGGCATCTATCTATCTATCTATTTATCTATGTATCTATCTCTCTCTCTCTATCTCTATCTCTATCTCTATCTAACTATCTATCGATCTATCTGGGTTGATAGAATACACTCACAGTGACAGAATTCGATTTCGATCGCTTTGACGAATTCGCATCCTGGTTAAGAACTATTCTCTTTACCCTTGGAAAACTAGCATGGACATCTAGGATTGTTTTTGAAGAATTGTACTCCCGCGATTCTTCATATCTTCTTTTCCTTAAACTTCTAATTCGCGTCGTCCAAATTTCATCTGCGACTAACTTGCTTGTGGTACCGGGTCGTTATTTAAATTATTGCATTCGAGCCCCTTACCACCTTGTTCAACGAGAAAACTGTAAATTAATTACACGCAAATCAAAGAATCGTTGATCTAAATTTATCACATCTCTATTGAGGTCTATTGATATTATTAATACTTTAATATTGCATTTACCTTATCATAGTTTAATTATGTTTAAACATTCATCTCTATTTGTATAGGTCTTATTTATATAAGTCAGTCTCAAGCGAAGCGATAACTTAGCCATAAGCAATGTACTACTACTGTATAACTACGTTGTATTTCGAACACATTAGACGAGATTCCACCCATGGTGGAATAAAGTGAATTCAATTTAACTCTCTTTCGATTCAATAAACGCTTCGGTAATATAGTTCTCGCAATCATATCTACATCTTCCATTTCATTGTGTCACGGAAGTAATAACTTATAGAGCAGCAAATCCGAACGTCAATACAAATTAACAAGGTCGCGAGCTTCGGTGTACGTCATTTATTATTTTACATAACCGCATACAACAGGAATCTCTAATCCATTATTCCGAAAGTCGATCGCGCAATTGACAATGTTAATGTCGCAATCGCTGGACAGCATCTCCCTATTGTGGTGTATTAGAAGAATAAAGGCGAAAAAAGAGCAATCTTTATTCATTAAAAAAATACGTGCACCAAGGTTTCATCGTAATTGCACTTCTTTTTTTTCTTTTTCCTTTTTTTCTCTCTTTCGAAAGCGCATAGTAATTTCCTTCGCGCGACTACTTCCACTACAACGTCTTTCTCGATAATCACATCGATGAAAATCGAGTATTCCCGGGAAACGGCAATTTTTTCCCCCGTGTAAGCGACTTTCGTTTGCCTAGAGATGCTCCGAGCGTGACGTGTCGTTAATGCTGCGCGCGATTACAACGACGAGATCTTGTGTGAGCGCGCGATAATAATCACAGCTTGCGCCTCCTTCGGAAAACGAAATCGTGTCATCGCAAAAAGTAGGTTTGCCTCTTTGCTTTTTCTTTTTTTTTTTTTTTTGATGCAGCGCTATAAATCAGCTGTTCTCTTGTTGTACGTAGCGTGCACTGTAAAAAAGAGAGAACGATTTCAAGTACGCGGACTCGACGTCATTCTTCGGGAAGTTGAAAACGAAAGAGAGGAAAAAAAGGATTTGATGAGGTTAAAGCAACGGTTCAAGCGTACATACGTCATTAGCTATATATATATACATCACTTTGACCATCGCTCATTCAATAACAATCCATTTGGTTGTGTTTGTCACGTATGACGTAGTTCGCTGGCAATTTATATAGAAAGCTGGCGTTCGCGGTAGGTGCAAATATATTGCTATTGACATTTGGCGGCGCGAAATTGAATATGCAGTCCGGGGCTGACTGGAATGGCGAGTTCGCCGTTGCGAGCGC